TGAGATAGTGGTCGAGACAAAAAAAGCAATTGCTAAGTGTGGAACTGAAGGGGTGATGCAAGAGCTGGAGGTCGGCGCTGGTTGAGCCCTGCGGGGAATGCGGGGTCCCTGCCACCAACCAGCTCGAGTGACTCAGTGTCTCAATATATCACCCCCGGTTACACACTAGGATTAATCTCGGGTCAAAAGTCACAGATAATTCCAGCCAGGCGGCACATACTGGTGGCCCAAGTGCTGCTTTCTGTACTCCTCCCCACTGCAGTCAATGCACCTCTGGGCACGAGCACATGCCCCTCCCGCTCTGACTCTGACTCTTTCTCTTGTGCATTTTGCTTTGGGGAAAGAAAAAGGAAAAGGAGGATTCATGGCCCTGCTGCTGGCTCGGAGCCGCTTTGCAGCAGGGCTGGAGATGCCATGTCCCGAGTGCACATGGGTGCCCAGCACAGCACGTCGTCTGTGTCACTCTGTCCCTATTGCCCCAGTTTCTTATCTCGGGCAGCTTCTTCCCAGCTTGAGCCACAAGCCATCACCGCAAGCCACTACAGCATCAAAAATAGGCATCAGTGGGGCTGTTTATAAAAGCCTGGAGGAGGGGAGAAGGCAGTGGCAGCAGCACAGAGACAGTGACAAGAGGGGGACACGTGTTCGGGCTCCTTCCCATCCCAACACAGGAAAAAGCGTTTGGATGCCCTGGATCAAGCGCTGAAACCCTTGGCCCTTCCCAAGTCCCGCGCTTTAGCCCCAAATACGGGCTTGCCAAATCTCAGAAGGGGAAAGCCAGCTTGGCTGTGACACCAGCAGGTTTTCCCAGGCTGATTTGTTAGGATTAGGGCTCTTTTCTTGCCCAGATTTCAGATCCAAGAGTTCAAAACAGTGGAATTTTTCCTCCTCCCCAGGCATACAGGTCCTGTGCCAAAAGCAGAGCCTGGAGGACAGGCTCAGCTGGGCTCAAAGTTAATCTTTATTTCTCCTGCAGACTCCTGCTATCTCTCTTCAACCCCATGCTGGGCTGGGAGGCATCTGCAGCTGCACTGCATTAGCAGAGGTGCTTAAATGCTTTGCTGAGGAAGGGTTTCCTTCCTGGGGGCTGTGTCAGCACCTTCCTGGGTGCTCCATGAGATGTGCCTGTGCTGGGTCTGCCTGGGGCTCTTTGCTGGCCTCAAGCTCCTCCATCAGCGCTGGGAAGGTGACAAGAAGCTACCCGGTTGGTAGGTGCGAAGCTTCAGGCTGGGGCTTGGAGGAGCACCTTGGTTATTTCTTCCTGTCCCTTTAGCAGCCAGGAAGGGTTCCAGGAAACTTCCAGCGCTTGCTGACAGCATCTCAGGGCCTTTCCAAGCTTCCAGCCCGGATGCACTTTGGACCTGGGATGCTACAAAAGGGCCTGGGTACTGCTGGTGTCACCAAGATCCTCTAAGCTGGTCCTTGGCACCGTGCTGCTCAGCTCAGACTCCTGCAAGACCAGCTCTGTGCGTGGCTTTGCGTTGAGCGTGGGCAGCTCCTGCATCTTGCTTGTCTAGTTAAGGCTCTGATTTTAATTTCTTGCCACCAGGAGCTGGGCCTGAGCAATTATGTAGTAATGAGCTATTCATCCTGAGGCAGTGCGTGGATCTGGGTTAATTGGTATGACAACCACATCTGATCCTTTCTGGCTTTGCCCAGTTTTCCTTATTTTTTTTTCCCCTCCTCTTCTGCACAGTATCAGCAGAGCTCTCAGCCTTCTTAATTAAGAAGGTAGCTTCACCCTAGGGCTCCCTTGCTCTCCTCTTCCAAAAGTGAGGCTAAAAAATAGGAGCAGGAATTAACTGGTGAGTGACGAAGCAGGAGCCACTGTGCAGGACTAGGGCTTGGGGGAAACGAGGCACCAAGAGCAGGTGCTGCCTGAGGGCCGGGAATGTTCTCGGGAATGCTCAATGTGGATGTTCCGCTAAGCCGGGCAGCATGGGAATAGTGATCCCCAAGGGGCTGCCGGGTCCTTGTGGGCTCTGCAAAGCTGCGATGTTGGGGGAATTTGCAGAAGAGGTTTGTGGCTTTCTTGGAGTGTGAGCCCTGGGGTATTTTAAGTATTTTGGGGAACTTCCTAGCTCTTGAGAGCTCCGTGCATGTGGGTCTGGCAGGCTGGAGGTGCCGAAGTGCAAGGCCCAGATGCTGGGGTACAAAAGCCTTTTTTCCCCCTCATTTTCCTCATTTGTGAGCTGTGTTTGTACATATCTAAAAGCAACACAGGGCTTTGGCCCCTTTGCTTCCACGGGGCACATCTGCTGCAGGAGGGGACACACATGGCCCCTCCTGCGTCTTCTACAGCCAAACCCTGAGCAAGAACAAGATGTTTGACCCAATGCTTCGTAACCGCCCGCGCTGCAGGCAGGGCCGGAGGGTTCGGCCAAGCAAACCAGACCCTGCTGCTCGCGTGGGCGCCAGGCCCAGCGGGGACGAAGCCCACACGCTTTTTCCATCCCTCTGCAGTGCGGCCCCGCAGCGGGGAGGGATCGTGTCTTTCCTCTCCTCCTGGCTCACACGCACACAGGTTTTCCTGCTCACCCGCTCCCTGTGCCGCAGGGTCAGGGGATGCAGCGCTGGCCCCAGCGCAGCCCCGTAGCCTTCCCGCTCAAGCACTCGGTTTCTTCCCAAGGCCGTTTTCTACACGGAGCCTAAAGCCCCCGGGCTCATCTTGTGTTCCTTTCCCATAGGCTTTGCAGGAGGGATAAGCCACAACCAGGATGATCCGGTTGCGGAGCGGGATGCGGCTGCCACCTCGAGCGCCACCGTGTCCCCACGCGCGAGCGCACAGTCCCCTCTAGCGGAGGTTTCTCCTATATCTATGTTGGCTGCAGATACCCAGGGCCGAGGACCGTGATGGCCGGATGCCATCCCTGTGGGAAGGGGACAGGCTGAGGTGTGTTTGCTGCCGCAAGGCCCCAGCGTGGAGTGTGACTTGTCCCAGCTGCGGAGCCGAGGAGCCCAGCATGCACGGGATGCCTGCGGCTCGTGCTCCTAAAGGCCCTCGGCTTTGGGATGAAGGGGGCCGGAGCACGCCGGGATGTGCCAAGGTCACTGTGACCTTCCTCCCTCTCCTCCGCCTGTCTCGGAGCTGCGTGTCAGCTGGAAGATACATGATATTTGCAGGCTGGGAGGGGGGTTCCAGTTTCCAGAAAAAGAGGTATGCCGGGAGCACAGGGAAGAGCAGCCCTTGGGCCCTGGCTCCACAGCAGCTCCTGCTCCCCTCTCCAACCAGAACTCCGAAGCTGGGATGCGGCTTCTCTGCATCGCTCCATTTCCCCCAGGGCAACATGCCCCCAGCCTCTCCCATTATCCCTGCCAAGCTGTTATTTATTATCCCAAGGTTTTGCAGGAATCTGGTTGCTAACTGAATCCCGCCCCCCAGCCCTATTGCTAAGGGCACCACAAGGCTCTGCAGCTGCCAGTCCCCAATGTAATTGCACAAGCCCAATGCCATTAAAACAGAGTATTTATTGCAGTGCTCCTCATAGGCCTTGTTTTCACAGATATATGTTTTAAAAAAAATAGCTGAGTGCATCTTAGCTGGTAGCAGAAATGCTCGAGTGCTGCCCTGAGCTTGGTGCCCTGGGGTGCAGCGCAGCTCCCACCCGGTGAGTTTTTTTTGGCCGGGTCCATCCCACATCCGTGGCGCTTCGTTGACCGTCTCGGCTCATCACAGGCAAATCCCAGAGGAGGCCGAGGCTGCGCTCGGCTGGAGAGCTGCACCAACAGATCACCCCAAAGCAAACCCGCCACCTCGAGAAGCACATAGTGGTTTGAAGAGGAAAACAGCAACAACAACAAAAAGCCCTTCTGCTATTCAACTCCCCACAGCACGAGCACGCAGAGCGTGGGTGTCGACTGTCCGAAAGGCTCGTCGGAGGTTGTCCTGGTAAGACGCTCTCTTGCATGCAGGCTCTTGCTGGCCGGTGCCTCCGTCACGTCTGCCTTGGGGTCTGCTCCTGCTGCGCAGCCCGAGTCCTGCTCTGATGCTAAATGAGAGCTCTGGGATGGTCCTTTCGGCTCCCGCAGCGCTCCGTGCTTGTGCACGGCCGCAATCAAAGGGAGCCGCGTTAGTCGTGCAGAAGAGCTGCTCGTGTCCCTTGGCACCCTGCTGGGGTGTCCGACTGCTCCTCTGCCCCATCCATGCAGGAAGGAGGGTGCCAAGTGGGCACATGCTGGCACTTTCCTGGCAGACTGAGCAGCTGGAAGGGGGAGAGGGGGCACTTGGCTCACCCACGTGGCATGTGCAGGCACCTGAGGCTTTGAAATGCAAGGAAGTCAAATCACCAGGTTTGAGTGAACCAGGCCTGCTGCCTCGCAGGTAGCTGCAAGGGGAAAAGTTCTCAGGTGCTGCAGAAAGGAGCCAGCTCTTGCCAAGGGCAGCTGGGAGAGGACCATGGTGCTGAGAGCTCCCTCTCCGCAGTTGGAGCCAAGGGAGGGATGTCATTTTCCTGCATCCTGCTGCAGAGCCGGGTTCCTGCAGCCCAGGCAGGGAAGTGCTTAGCTGTGGTGAGAGGCACTGCTGAGCCTGTGTGTGGAGCTTGGGCATCGTGTGCTGGCTCTCATAGCCTGGCCACTTTGTCCCGTCCCATCCCCTCGGTAGGAAGCTCCTGGGGGGGACATGCCTTGAGGAAACCCCCTGGTATTAAGGGCAGGCACTGAGCTGGCCTGGCGCTAGCTCCAACTGAAGTTTAGCCAGGAGGGATCCAGCACTGCTCCGTGCTGCATGGAGCAAGGCAGTGACGTGGTGAGCTTGTCCATTGGAAATACGGAGCTGGTTCCCGTGCCAGGCATAAAGATCCCCCAAGCCTGTGGGAAATACCCCGTGGTCAGGACATCCTGTGGCACGGCAGCCCCTGCATTACTCCTGTAACAACTGGGGCTTTCAGGGTGCATCTGGGTGACTGCAGAGCTTCAGCCCCCTCCTTTTCCTCTCCCCAGCGGACACAGTGTCTGTGGGTCGGTGCCGGGCTCGTCGGGGACGCGCAGAGCGGCCGGGCTCACGCGGCCCGGCGCGGCGGCTGCCGCTTGCTGTCCAGGAGAGCCCTCCAGTCGTCCGTCCAGGAGTGCAGCCGGCGGCTGGGAGGCTTCAGCTGCAGGTGCTTGTTGTGGCAGGCGGTGAAGAGGACGTGCTCCCAGCTGGGGTTCTGCTCTGCTCCTGCGGGAGAGCGGAGAACCGCTAGCAAAACACCTCTCCAATCTGGATGCAGCGCTTGGGGCCTGGATGTGCAGAGCGGTGCCAGCCGCCCCTCGGGGTGACCCGCAGTCCCTTCTGCTACCCTACATCTCCCTTACCGGTGATGTCGGGTCTGTCGTCGATGAGCAGGTCAGCGGACACCACTGTTTTATCCTGCGTCAGCACGATCTGCTCCAGAAACTCGGGCCCGAAGTGCTTTTCCACCCAGGCGTACTGCAAGGCAACGGTGGAGCAGGGTGTGAGGACAACGGTGGGGACGGATGGGGACAGCCAGCACCTGCCCAGGGCACTGCAGGGCCTGAGTGGCAGGAGCTGTCCTGATCCCCACACAGTGGGCTATTTTGGGGTTATTTGGGGCTGCTCATTCCCCACCTCCTCCCCGTGCAGGGCTCACCTTCTCGTAAGGGCAGTAACGATACTTCTTGATGGGACTCGTGCAGATGAACACGTCGGTGCTGCCATGACAAGAGGAAGCGGGTGAGGATATCGCTTGGTGGGTAAAGACCCTTCTGCATCCCACTCCCTGCCTTAGCTGCATCCCAGTTGCTGCTGTGAGACTCCACTGGATGCCCCAGCAGACCCAAAGACACCTCCTGCATAAGGTCAAGCCAAGCAGGGGCAATTTAACCTGGTAATCCCCCATTTCCCAGGATTTCAGCATATAAGAGCGTAAAGACCCATGCGTAGAGCACCCGCACCTCTCCCACCACCCTTGCTGAGAGCAGAGCTGCAGGAGGCTGATTCCTTGGGGACTGCTCCATGAATCCAACCCCAACATTTCCTACCCGTGCCCTTGGGTAAGAAAGCCAAGGCATTTTCATGCTGTAAACAATGTTGCTGCTGGGAGGTGGATTAGCCTGCAGAGCCCCTGCTGCTCCCACTGCAACGTGCACGGCTCCTACTCACTCTGCCAGGTTAGCCATTTGCTTCACGGCTTCCACAGCGCCGGGGAGCGGGTCCAGCTCGATGAAGAAGTTCTTCGACTCCCAGATGCTGATGGCTTGTTCCTGGCAGAGCAGAGAGACACGTTACTGCACATGCATCTTCACACCCTTTGCTAGGAGAGAAGATCGTGACAGTGGTAAAGCTGGGGTGCCTGGATGGAGAGTGCTGGCTCTGAACCTCTCCTCCAAGCCCAATCTGGCCTCTGTAGTCTCCTGCATTTCCCACCTGCCTCCCTGGTTCCACCCAGGACAGTTTGGCTTGGAAAGCCTCCGGATCAGGCTCGGTTTTGTCAGTGCCCACGCACATGGGAAGCAGCAGCTTCCCTCAATGCAAAACGCAGAGACTGTCCAGAACCGAACCAAAGCCCATGGAAGTCTGCACCTTGGGTGGCAGTTTGACATGGATCCAGCTGAACTGCTCTGGTGCCTCTGCTGTAACACGATGCTGCTCTGCTCAAGGTGATATCTGGCCTATTTGTCTCAATTGTGTTTAAAACAGCACCTATGAAGTGCTCTTCCATAGGTGAAAATATATTATGGGATGAAACACGTGAGAGGGAGACAGTGGCCCTTTTTCCTCAGGGATGCCTAGGCAAGGTCCACCAGGCAATGCAGCATCTCCAGAAAGGGGTCAGAAGGGCCAAACACCCCGAGCTCTACCTGGGGCTGGCACCATCCTGGGGCAAAGGGGATGCAGAGCAAAGCAGGTGCAGAGGGAGCGCATGGAGCGAAACCTTGGGATGAAGGAAGTCAGCATCCAGGGTATGATACAGCCTGCAGCTGACACAGCTCTGTTAGCGATGGTTGCAGTTGCTGTTCTGCTTGTGTTCATGCTCAAAAGCATTTCGCACCTGCACTCAAAG